ATATCCGTGTCCGTACTTCATCAACGTACATCACACATGTACACTGTGTTCCATCACTGTTCCCTCTCCACCTGTTCTGTTTCGTCTAGCTTGGAGGTACCGTCTTGTCGCGTTCTCGCCTCCTTTCTCGTAATAGCGAGTAGAGCCCCAACCAAGCACTGTGACACGACCTGACGCTCTCCATTCCCCATAGCTCCGTCCAGGGTGCCTCCTGGTGTGGACGTGAACACCTACATCGGCCAGCTTCAAGCTCAGATCGTGGCGCTGCAAAACGCCCTCAGTACGCGTTCAGCCTCGCCCGCAGAAAGCAGCAGCGTTGGTTCAAGCATTAACCCTTCTCCCTTTTTTTGCACACTAGCTTCGGCGGGTGTGCCCATCCCGTGGACTGGCTCATATCCGCTGCAGCCGCAGCCGCAGTCGCCGCAGCTACCCCAACCTCCCCAGCCTCTATACCACCAGCCGCCTCCGTCTCCGATGTCGGCCATGCCTCCGCCATCGCCGCTACAATACGGCATCCCTCGACCGATGACCCCGCTATCGATGTCCCCACTACCGATGTCACCACTGGCCCCACCGCCGATGTCTCCGCAGGCCGTGATGGGCGCTGCACAACCGCCCGCCGCGCAAGGCGAAGGTCAGTAGCTCTCGCCTTCACTCTTATGTCCTGCTAGTGAATCGTAAGCTTTAAGGCTCACTCCCTCGCTGTGCTCGCTCCAGGCCCGCCCGGAGCGAACTTGTTCATCTACCACCTGCCGCCGCACTTTGGAGACTCGGACCTCTACTCTCACTTCGCGCCTTATGGGCAGCTGGTGAGCGCGAAGGTGTTTATCGACAAGGCCACAGGCCAAAGCAAATGCTTTGGTACGTCTTGCTTGCTTGACGCGCAGCCGACTGCAACAACGATTCGCTTGGCTTACCCCCACTGCTTCCACCCGCACGACGTGCTGTCAGGCTTTGTGAGCTACTCCATGCCCGCAGCCGCAGAAATGGCCATTCAGCAGATGAACGGCTTCCAGGTGGCCGGCAAGCGTCTACGAGTGCAACACAAGCGATCTCGCGCCCAGCCCTACTGATACCCCCCTCTCCTCCCCCGCGCTCGTTCCCGTCACGGTATGCGTGTGCGTGCGTTGAGTGTAAATGGACTCTCAGATTTCAATGCTTGGCACGCGAGCGCTTCACTCGGCTGGTCTATCTATGGTACTGTGTGCCAGCGTTGTCGGCTGGGCTTCTCGTGAGTACGACGGCTCGTCGAGCCCCATGCTCGGCGAGAGCAGCGCTGCCAGTAGGGCTTCGTCGTCCAGGCCCGAGACCGGTTCCGCTTCCACCGCGGCACCGCCGCCGTCACCCCGTTGCTTGAGGAAGCATGGCACATGCCCTTCGCGATGATGAGGAGGAGGATGGTGAAGAGGATGAGGATGGTGATGGTGAGGATGATGATGAGGATGATGATGAGGATGATGGTGATGAGGATGATGATGAGGATGATGGCGATGAGGAGGATGGTGGTGAGGATGATGAGGATGGTGATGGTGATGGTGATGGCCATCTTCGAAGAATGACCGGAAGTCTGGAGGCAGCTCGTCCCAGCTTGCCGCTGCCGTCGAGTCAACGCAGATCACGCTCCACATCAACTGTTGTGCGTGTCGTGCGTGTGCGTGTCGTGCGTGTCGTGCGTGTGCGTGTGCGTGCGTGTGGTCAGGAAAGAACACGTGCGCTAGGTGCGGAAGGCTGCGGTACCCGGCCTTCGGCGGAGAAAAACGACTGATGCTTGACCTCGGCCCTGATCAAGCGTCCGTCCTTGGTGCGCATCCGCGGCGAAATAGGGACGACGTCGCCCACATCACCAAACGTTCTGTTCCAGTGCGCTGACCACCATCAGTCTTTTGCTTCTTCTTCGTCATCATCATCATCACCCCTATCATCATCGAGAGTCGCAGGTGGGTGGATGCGGACCTGGCCATCATCCGAGTCATGAACTGATGCTGGACTTCTGGATCTGGATCCGGCAGCATGAAGTGCGCAATGGAAGAACCTTGCAGCTCGTGCTGCAGCATGTCCACAGAAAAGTGAGAAACAAGCAAGCCTCTCGCGTGTGTACTGTGTGTGTCGTGAGCGTGTGCATGTGTGTGCTGTGGTGCGTACAGCCTGGTACTGAAGCATATCGCAAAAGGCCTGATTGAAGAGCGCCAACACGGGCTTCCTGCGCGGTGGGTGCCACAGATCGCGCGGCTTGCCCCCTTTTTTGGGCGGTTTCTCGATTGGGCATATAGCCCCCATGGGCTTGCTACACACGACACACAACACACCATCAGCGATCACAGCACTCAGTATCCTACAACGAGGCCTACAAAGAGCGAGGCAGAGGCCATGATGGTGCGTACCTCACATCGTCGATGGCGAACGGAACGTTGCGCTGGTGGAGGCGGAAATCGGCCAAGAAGGGGAAGAGGCTCGCCAGTCGCGACCCATCGAACGACGTGAAGGTGGTGAGGGCCGAGCGCGGAGACGTCGACGAAGAAGACGAACTGGAGCTCGACCAAGAGAACGACGACGACGACGAGGTAAGGGGTCTGGATCGTGACAGGGAGCACTTCTGCAGTGCGTGGCCGATGGTCATCGCCAGCGGCAGCGTCTCCAGCGCGTGGCGCATGTCTGCCCACGTGAAGAGATTTAGAGACCAACCGACACATGAGGTACTCCACCAAGGTGCGTCGACGAGGGTGGAGGTGCGGACCGTTTTGGGCGTAGGACATGGAGGCCTGCGCGGCGGAGAGCTGTAGCACGTCGTGCTTCATGGCGCCGACGCTCCTCTGCATGTCCTGCATGTCGCGCATCAGCACCGAGATCAGGCTCTGCACCACCGTGGTGGTGGCCGGCCCAGCGCTCCCCGTTCTTGCTCGCTTGTTCTTCTGTTGCGACTGTTCGTCGCGGGCCTCAGCCGACGAGGTCTCCACCGGTGTGTTGGTCGTTCGTCATCGTCATCGTCATCGTCGAAGTCGTCGAGGCCGTGGAGGCGTAGCCGGGATCCCATGCACAGCCGACGATGGGCCACTGGAGAGGTTGGTGTTGCTGGTGGGTGGTGGCTGCTGCCAGCATCTGCTGGGTTAGAAGCGACGGTGCGGGGCGCAACTCCGAACTTCTGGTAACCACCGCCTGAGAAACTGCGGGATTGGTTGCCCGCAGCCAACAACAGAGATCTGGCGCGTGAGCGAACTGGTGTGGTCTTGGGCGAAGAAAGGTGGGGAAAGGGAGAGGGGGGGGGGCACGCACGGGCTGCAGATGGAGGTGGTGGCGATGGTCGCAGCGGGGTGGGTGCTCTGTTGTTGGCCTTCTTCTTCGTCTTCGACGTAGGTTGTCGGCTGCTACGCTTGCGAGGTTGTGTGCTGGATGGAGCGCGTGTGAGGGGTTGAGGGGTTGGTGACAACAAACAAACTTGGAAAATGCTGGGAGTTGACATACATTGTGCCTGGGCCTACGTCTTGGCTCTTGGCCTGCCTTTGGCTGCCGTCCATCCTGCTTCCTTGTGCTGCTCGCTTCTGCCAAAAAAACAAACTAAAATAAAAGTAAAAAAATAAAAAATGGGGAGGTTTTCTACACGATTTCTCTTGGGTTTTCTTTTTGGCTCCGGTAATTTTCGAGCCACGCCGTATTGGCGTTAACGGCAGCCAGGTTGTGTTGTCGTCTGCGAACGTTCGTTGCGGGTGGTTGTTCGCTGTTCTCTCTATCTGCACTACCCACCCCCAGCACTGCCCACCGCCTCTCCACATCAGCCCGAGCCCCAAGCGCTGTAGAACTTGGAATGGCATTTCTAAAGAAATCGGGTCGACTTGGAGGCTCCAAATCCAAGGTCTCGTCGCCAACGACCGATTCGGACCTGGCAGCGGACTGGATGGCCCAGGGCTCTTCCTCCTCTTCTTCATCATCACAGACTGCGCAAGATGCCGCGGCGACCAGGAAGCGACGCGAGGAGGCCGAAGCCGAGGCCGAGGCCGACCGTCGCCGTCTGCTCAACGTCAACCGCTACGCGGCTGGAGGCGGTGGCGGCGGGGCAGCCGCCTTCACCAAGATTAGGAAGCAGGAGCAGTCGCGCGTGGAGAAGATGCAGAACCAGACCTTCACG